CCCCCCCGAAATTTCTGGCTAAGGCCTTGATTTTCATATGTTATTATATAATATAACATATTTATACTCAACCCCCCCAAATATTTTTCTGGCTACGATCTCGATTGACGAAGTAATAAATGAAGCGGTAGGTAGTTATCAACCTACTCTGTCCTAATTGTGCTGAATACAGGTCTGAAATATGATGGTGAAAAAAGTTTGGAAGCTTATCTATTCTCAAAGATTGGTATCTGCGTATTGAATTTGTGTGTAAAAACGTATTCTTGGGCAGCAGGTTGGTATGTAAAATTGGAATTATCATCGAAAAACATTTTATCCTTGGCATTCGGCAAAAGATTCTTCCTATATACGAGTACTTGAGCCGCAAAAATAGCCTATCGTTCAGATGTGTATAATATATACATTTCATGGTATAGCCCAGGAGGCATATTATGTTGAATTACCCAATAAGTAACTTATTTAATATTTTGAACATTTTTTTTTAAACAAAAGTAAAAACCAATGAGAGGTATAATCGAACCTATATTATGTGATTATGGCTTGGATAGCTTTTGTGGTTTCCGAAATAATCGATTACTAACAAAAATATGTATTATCATTTTGAAGTACATTATGCCAATTTAAGATATCACATTCTAATATTCTATACATACACGTACTGTTTACATTTGACTTATTAAATAGTATATAATTATAGTATATACTATTCTTACTTAAAATGTTAAATGCCCAGCTCATAGTTTTGATAACAAACACTTAAGTATCGTAATTTATTTATCTGTATTTATAATAGTTAAAGCGAGTGGAGTATAGAGGCGTAATACTTAAAACAAATAATAACAAATTACTTTTGACAATACGGTCCCACTTAAATTATGTATGCGATAGAAAACAGAGCCTAAATTAAGATATACAATTATTCAAGTAAGATATAACAAAATATTGTAAATTTACAATTATTTTTTTTTCAATTTTAACCAACATTAACTAATGAGGTACGTCGTATTTGAATTTTCTAATTGTTGACTTGAAATTATCGTTTTTTCTAACCTTTTTTTTTCATTTTTAATAACGATTTTGAAAGCGACTTAAATGTATGCTAAAATACGAACTTCAAGCAATTTATACCTGTCCTCATAATGATAATAAATTTATAAATCAGTCATTAAAATTTAAATTGTTAAGTATTAATTATTGTGATATGAATACCTAAGTAAATAATATTTTATATATCATTTTAGATTGAAAAGTTGTAAAATGTACAATGAATTCACTTATACAAATCGTAAATAAACTTCAGGATGTTTTTTCTGTGTTTGGTGAACAGCAACTTACTGATTTACTACAAATTGTGGTAGTGGGAAGTCAAAGCTCTGGAAAAAGTTCAGTTCTGGAAAGCATTGTTGGATGATCATTTTTATCTCGGGGAACTGGAATTGTTACCAGGGCGCCATTAGTTATACAAATGATTAAATACACCAAGAAAACAAGAAAATCTATGTTGAAGTCAAATAATATCGAAGACACTGAAAAAATAACAGAATGGGCAGAGTTTCTACATGAGCCAAATATATTTTATGTCGATTTTGATTTGGTACGCAAAAAAATTGAATCTAGAACAAATATTCTTGCAGGAACTAATAAGAGCATCACTAGCACTCAAATTGTATTGAGAATTCACACTAATCGATATGAGCTGACGTTTATAGATTTGCCAGGTATAACAAAAGTAGCTGTTGGAGACCAACCGCAAGACATATATAAACACATCCAGAGATTAATTATTTCTTATGCAAAGAAACCCAATTCTATTATTTTAGCAGTGGTGACTGCGAATACGGATCCATCAACAAGTGAAAGTCTTCACATGGCGAAGAAGTTGGACCCAGATGGAATCAGAACCATAGCAGTAGTTATAAAATTGGATCTAATCGATAAAGGAACACTACAAGACACTAGCGATTTACTATGCGGTCATAAGATTCCAGTGAAACTAGGTATTATAGGTGTGGTGAATAGAAGCCAAAAAGAAATTGTTGAAAATAAATCAATGGATGCAACGTTAGTGTCCGAAACAGAATTTCTAAAAACTAATTACCCAGATATATGTACGAAACACGGAAACGAGGCGTTAGTTCACACGTTACAGCTAGGCGGTATTGATAACACAAATAAAAAAAGTATATCCAAAACTTAGAGTTGAACTCGAAGTACTTAAAAAGAAATTGGAAAGACAACTTTTGCCACTATGCAAGCGTACGAAGATACTATGAACGGTAATAAAATCGATGTTTCGGTTGATGAAATTGTTGGCGGTGCCAGCATAGCTAAAATATTCCAACAAAAATATTTAAAGACAATAAACTCTATTGACCCACTTCAAGATTTATCAAATGAAAATATTGCAAATATTTTATCAAACACATCGGGCACTTACCAATGTACTTTTATAAATGAAAAGGCGTTACACAAAATTATAAGACGGCAATTAAATAACTTAATCGAGTCGTCGTTGGACTGCGTAGAGTTGGTATGTCAAGAGATGTTAAA